AATTGAATGTCTATCGTCGTGACATCTCTCACTTCGCCAAAAGTAATCATAAGTTCAATGAAGCCTCAAGGATGAGTCACTGCTCTATTGAAACCTTGTAAGATGGGTTACATCCATTGAAACCTTGTAGGTTTGTATCCATATAGTATGATAATTTCTCCTCCAACCTATTTAGTAAACAATTGAACATGCATTATATCATAAAAACTCCTTTCATCATTTATAATTTCTGAAGTGTCAAAGTTGACCATGGCGTTGTCACCAAAAATATATATTAATCACAAATAGTATTAATATATCATAATGAAAAAAACTTTTAAAAAATTAAAAAAGTTGTCTATTTTTCTCTCTCTCTAACATCTTCATTTTCCCTCTCTCCAAACTACCCATAATATCTATAAAAAAAGTCATTTATCTATATTGAAATTGAGGAGTGTGGATTTTCTACACTGTATTTTTCACTAGTTTTTAATCCAGTGTTAATCACAACCCTTCAAATTTATTTATCTCTTTTTAAAATTATTTAATAGTATTTTGTGTGTGGCTAGGATTTGACCGGAGGGATTTTCATGGGAGAGAATCTTGCTCTCAAAATTGAGACACATGAAATAAATAGTTATTATGAAGTATTTCCTCAGTAACACCCAATTTCTACCCGGCGGATAATAAGAAAATTAGATTTCAACATAAATAGGATGCTACATTTTCAACTAAAAATCAATCTTCATTTAATCGCATACAAACAGATACATAACACTTAAACTCGGATGAACCAATAACAATTTAATTTATTCTTCAAAATCAAACAACTTTTTATTGATAAGCAACGGAATATACATACTCAACTTCAATTCACTTAACATCTTTTATTCAACTAAAACAACCTCAAGACAACAATTATTTCATGTAATCACTTAAGAATTCAGCAACTGAAATAATAATCAACAACTAAACATCAAGCATTCATCCCCCGAGTGCTACGTATCAGAGCAACAACACCGACTCGAACTAATAAGGCTAAGCAAATCTTCATTCTTGAATACCTGCGCGTTACCAACAAAGGGCAACATTACAACAGAAGGGGTGAGATATCAACCAATATAAACACGTGTATGATAAACAATAAATTAGGTTAGATCATACAAATATCACCACTTTATAACAACAATTGTGCAACAACCAACAAACATCTTAATAACAACATCAACTTTAATCAACTAATACCTCAACATAACAACTTATGATATACAACTTCGATTTATCACAACTTAACACCAACAACAACTTTAACAAACAACTCAAGATGCGACTCAACTATGCAACTCAACATAATGCATATGCATGTGGTACCATTGGAGCAGAACTTCCATCTCATAAATTTCCAATTAATAGAGGCATCAACAAGGCATAAGCCTTCATCTCAATATTCGCCAATACAGGCCATCTCAACGAGCATAAGCTCCATCTCAAAATGCAATGTATGTGATACAATCATGAATGTAATAACAACACCATAATTAACAACATCTCAGTACAACATCATCGTTGGCCAAAGGCCTACATCTCAAAGCATCTCAACATCTCTTCAAAAACATCTCATATCATCATAATAAGTCATCAAACATCATTTATTCATCAAACATCATTTATTCATCATAAATTATCAAACACAACTTTATTAATAACATCTCATCAACAACTCAGTTGTACGGTACTACAATAGTGCTCATCATTTTCACAATATTGGCCATAGGCCTACAACAACATATTCAACAACAACAATGTATTCGACAACGACTCATTCACAGCAATAACCAACAACACAATTCCATAAACCGAAACCATTCAACTTAATTCGACTTCACCTGCAAATCAACTTTATTATACATAATTCTAACAAAACAAAACAACTAAAAATACCTATATGTATATACGACTTACTCCGACAATTTCAACTAATTCCGGTTAACTACTTTTACCTCCTAAATCTACAAATTCGGCTAATCGGTACTGTTTTATATATTGTTATTACTACTATTTATTTATATTTATACTAATTAATTTATTCTACTAAGTTACGCTACCTCTGTTATTTAGCTTACTGCTATTATCGGTCTCCGCCAAAACTACTTGTTTGCTATCTACAACTTCTATTACTACAACTTCCTGTAAGTGACAAATATTAGTTATAAACCAAAACCAATTTCGACTTATTCCTCCTGTTATTGAAATTCCCCGTTATACTTTCTGTATGATAATTTGCAATTTCTACATCTACTAATACTTCCTAACAATACTCATCTAAATTAGTCCATACACTATTATTTCTGCTACTCTTACATATACATCCTGCTATTCATTTGACTAAAGCATTACAATTTATTTCTGCAACTTCTTTAGTCCAATCTGATACTAAATTATTTTACTAATTATATTAACTTATTAATAATATAAGATATGACATAGTCTTCCCACCACGCCTATATGTCCTTTCGAGGCTCATCTCAGGACAACATCTAAATAATAGCCATAACAACATCATAACAGAAATACGATTCAAATAAATTATAGAACAACTTCATCAGCACATTATGAACATTCACTGACAACTAAAATTGCAGGACTGATAATCTTCACAAAATCACAATATAACCGAATTGACAATAATTCATGGCACAAATTTATACAACCCAACCCCACATACGGTTTATCATATACCTAGTTATAGAGATTGAACCCCACCCTTACCTGGTTTGGATTAAAGGTAACTCTAAGGGTCTCTGATTGAATCTCCTCTTGGCCGCTTGGTGTAACTTCCACGTATCCCTCTTCTTCTCCTTAAAACCCTTATTTTTCTCTTCTCTGCAACTTCTCTTGTACCAAAACCTTCCAAGATTTTCTCTCTCTCTAGATCAGAATCAAAGCTGAAAATTTTCCCAAATATACAGCTACAGTGCGATGATGATATCTCCCAACTCAGACCTTATTTTGAAGATCCTAATGGTAAAAAGTTAGATGTAGGTGTTGCGAACCTACCCTCAAAATTTAAGCATGATCCAACGGTTAACAAATCGGGGATCGCCGATTTAGTGAGACTGCTGCAATAAAAACGGGAATGAGTTTCTCCCATCTATTCTCTCACTTTTTCTCAATTAACCTAATTCCTTTTATATCCACTTAACCTTGTAATTCTAGTAATTTTTATTGGGCCAATATCCACACTCTCATATTTACTACATGACATCACTTAAATGAGTCCAACAATTACTCTTATAATGCTCCAATATGTTTAATATTATTAAACCACCATTTAATCAAATAATATCACGGAACAACTTAACAATAATTCGCAACATTGCTCAACTCCAACTAATAATTTTAATTAAGTAATTAATTAAATTATCGGGGCGTTACATCCTCCGTTTTAAAATGAGTTTTATTTTAGTAAATAAAATATATTTTAAAATAAATGTCATTTTCACCTTTTAATAAAGTAATGATTGTTATTTTTTCCAATGTTTTAAAACCCAGACCGGTGATCGACTCGGTAAAGTTACTGGGTCACTGGGTTACTGGTCGGACCAGTGAGTCACTGGTCAGACCGCATGACTTTTGACCCGGTTTCTATAAAAAATATATTCATTACCTGAAATTTGTAACTATAATAATATAGAAAATTATAAATTCAAATAATTTAGAATAAACAAAAATATTAGTAATAATCAAAATAAGTGATAGAAACTTAATGTAGCAAATTATAAATTCAATGAAGTGATAGAAACATAACAATTCATAAGTTATAATATTATTAATAAGTCACAAAAATCCATACTCAATGATCCATAATTTTTTATGTCCATGAAGTCAAATTGTCATAAATAGTCAAACTCGCCGGTTCAGTAAAAACCGCTGATTTACTGGTTTAACCGGTGATCCGGCCGGTTCACACCGGTTTCATCCTATCTAAATGTAATTCCGATCTTATCCCTTAACCGGATCGCCTGATCCACCAGTTCTCGGTCAGACCGGTCCAACCAGCCGGATCGGACTGGATTTTAAAACATTGATTTTTTCACTTATACCATTTAATTATTATTCTCTACACTATTTTCAACATATTTATAAGATTAATATAAGAAAAGTATAATATTTTATAATATTATTATTACATTTTTTTAATTTGTACGTAAAATTTTTAAAAAACACTCATTTTAAAAAGAGAATATATATATAAAGTTACTTATATACGTTAAAGAATATTTCTATAAATAACTTATAAAAAAATTATTCTATATTATAAAAATTTTAACTTATTAACTTATGTTATATATATATATATATATATATATATATATATATATATATATATATATATATATATATATATATATATATATATATATATAGAGAGAGAGAGAGAGAGAGAAAGTGTTAATTAGTTGATGTTGGATCATATATAAGTAGAGGGTTGACCAAGTCTCAAAGTTGAATATGAGAGTGGTTATCATAAGTCACGGTCAACTTATATATGTAATTTGCTCGCCAGCTGACTCCGGTTGCTTCCACTAAGTTTCTCACCAACTACAACCTCATTTTTCTTTTGGTCAAATTCCATTTTCCATTCACCTATATACTATTTCTACCAACCAAGATCCCAGACTACCACGTGGCTAGATCATAACCAATTAATACTAAGTAATTAGTAATCAAACGGCCATAATTAATTTTCAACAAACCCACTTATTTTTTCTACAACTTGTCAGACTCTCAGTCCATACCCACCAGACACACGCATGCAATGCAAGATAGAATAATGAATAGTTATATAACCTCAAAAACAAACCTCTATATAAAGCTCAACTACTCTTCCTTCACATCTCAAGAAATTCACTACTACTACAACTTCATTTTCATTCTTTCTTTCGTAATCATTTATTTCTACTTTCCATTCCCTCAAAACACAAAACACAACAAAAGAACATTACTATCAGTTAATTAAGATGGAAGCAGTAGCAGCAGCCATTGTTGAAAACAACAACAGTTATGATTCTTTCTGCTTCACAAATGCTAAAAACAATAACATGAAAGTAAACAGCACCGATCCTTTGAACTGGGGCGCGGCAGCGGAGGCAATGAAAGAGAGTCACTTGGATGAAGTGAAGCGTATGGTTGAAGAGTATCGGAAACCTGTGGTACGTCTTGGTGGTGAGACACTGACCATTTCTCAGGTGGCTGCCATTGCCGCACACGACCATGGCGTGAAGGTGGAGTTGTCGGAATCTGCAAGAGCTGGTGTTAAGGCCAGCAGTGACTGGGTGATGGAGAGTATGAATAAAGGCACAGACAGTTACGGTGTCACCACTGGTTTCGGTGCAACCTCACATCGCCGCACCAAACAAGGCGGTGCTCTTCAGAAAGAACTCATCAGGTATTTTACACATTGTTTTTTTTTTTAATGTTTTCTATTCTGAATTTTCATATAGAAAACTCTCAAGCTTATTTTACTTAATACTTTTTTTCAGATTTTTGAATGCTGGAATATTTGGAAATAGAATTGAATCAAACCACACACTACCGCACACGGCAACAAGAGCTGCTATGTTAGTACGAATCAACACACTTCTCCAAGGCTATTCAGGCATTAGATTTGAAATCTTAGAAGCCATAACCAAGCTCATTAACAACAACATTACTCCTTGTTTACCGCTTCGAGGTACAATCACAGCTTCAGGAGATTTAGTCCCTTTATCTTACATCGCTGGTTTACTAACCGGAAGACCGAATTCCAAAGCTCATGGACCGTCTGGTGAGATACTTAATGCAAAAGAAGCTTTTCAATTGGCTGGAATCAATGTTGATTTCTTTGAGTTACAACCAAAAGAAGGACTTGCACTTGTTAATGGAACTGCTGTTGGTTCTGGTTTAGCTTCTATTGTTCTATTTGAAGCTAACATTCTGGCTGTGTTGTCTGAAGTGCTCTCAGCTATTTTTGCTGAAGTTATGCAAGGAAAACCTGAATTTACTGATCATTTGACTCACAAGTTAAAGCACCACCCTGGTCAAATTGAAGCTGCTGCTATTATGGAACATATTTTGGATGGAAGTGCTTATGTTAAAGCAGCTAAGAAGTTGCATGAGATGGATCCTTTGCAGAAACCAAAACAAGATAGATACGCGCTAAGAACTTCACCGCAATGGCTTGGTCCTCTGATTGAAGTAATTAGATTCTCTACTAAGTCAATTGAGAGGGAGATTAATTCTGTTAATGATAACCCTTTGATTGATGTTTCAAGAAACAAGGCTTTGCATGGTGGAAATTTTCAAGGAACACCTATTGGAGTATCCATGGATAATACACGTTTGGCTCTTGCATCCATTGGTAAACTCATGTTTGCTCAATTCTCCGAACTTGTTAACGATTTTTACAATAACGGGTTGCCTTCAAATCTTTCTGCTAGTAGAAATCCTAGCTTGGATTATGGTTTCAAAGGATCTGAAATTGCCATGGCTTCTTATTGTTCCGAGTTACAATATCTTGCAAATCCGGTCACAACTCATGTTCAAAGTGCTGAGCAACATAACCAAGATGTGAACTCTTTGGGTTTGATTTCTTCTAGGAAAACATATGAAGCCATTGAGATTCTTCAACTCATGTCTTCCACATTCTTGATTGCACTTTGCCAAGCAATTGACTTAAGACATTTGGAGGAGAATTTGAAAAACTCAGTTAAGAATATTGTAAGCCAAGTTGCTAAAAGAACCCTTACAACTGGTGTCAATGGCGAACTCCATCCTTCAAGGTTTTGTGAAAAGGACTTATTAAGAGTGGTTGATAGGGAGCATGTGTTTGCCTATATTGATGATGCTTCTAGTGCTACATATCCATTGATGCAAAAACTAAGGCAAGTGCTAGTGGATCATGCATTGGTAAATGGAGAAAGTGAGAATAATGTGAACACTTCAATCTTTCAAAAGATTGCTACTTTTGAGGATGAGTTGAAGGCCCTATTGCCAAAAGAGGTTGAAAGTGCAAGATTTGCATATGAGAGTGGAAATCCAACAATTCCAAACAAGATCAATGGATGCAGATCTTATCCACTTTACAGATTTGTGAGACAAGTGTTGGGAACTAATTTGTTAACTGGAGAAAAGGTTACTTCACCAGGTGAAGAGTGTGACAAATTGTTCACAGCTATGTGTCAAGGCAAAATCATTGATCCTCTTCTTGAATGCTTGGGAGAGTGGAATGGTTCTCCTCTTCCAATTTGTTAATTTTGTTAGTTAACTTCAAAAAAAAAATTTTTTTTTTTGGTAGCTATATGTAAGTGGTGCAATAAGCACTATATTTGTCATACATTTAACAAATTAATATGGAAAGCTTTATTTCAGTTTTCTCCAATATCAAAGTGAACCTTCTAATTAAATTTATAATAGAATTTTCATTTGTTTGACATAGTTTTTTATCCACTATTAAATATGATGTTAAATTTAGTACGTAATGGTTAATTGATCAATAAAAAAAAAAAAACTATGTTTTTAATGGCGAATAAACAAAGTCTAAAATAATCTCTTATTAGATATTAAAACTGTGAATCTATAAAAATAACATATTAAAAAGTGTATTTGTACTTTTAGTTTAAATGTTTACTCCTTCGAAGAGAGTTATATTTCAAAAAGAAATTAATATCAATTTTGCTTCTGTGAATTCTGACTTACTCTGTAAAAAAAAGTTAAGATTTTAATTTTAAAACACATGTTTACCATTTATATTTTATATATATTTGAATATTATTTAAAAAATTAAATATTTAAATATGTTTGAATATTATTTTAGTTTGTATGATTTTAAATATGTTTGAAAATTAAATATTATTAAAAGAAATATTTAAATGTTTTTAAATATTTTTTAAAAATAAATAAACAATTTAAATTTGTTATTAAATATGTTTGAATATTATTTAAATTTAGTTTTAATATATTTAAATTTGATTTGAATATTCCTTCCTAAAATGTTTCAAGAGTCATCAATATATTAATAAATGAATCAATATGAGAATTTAATAAAAAAAGAACTTTGTGGCTCAGTTTTTTTTTTTTTGAAAAGAAAAATATTAATATATATATTAATGGTGGAGTCTAAGGTGAAGCATCAATTAAGTGATTTATGGGAGATCATAATTACTGATCATTGGATTAACCAGTTCTACCAGATTTTATTATGTGCTTATCACACCATATTGTAGTATAATCTAAGATACTTGATAAATTGATACACTCAAAATTCTTAATCAATTAATCTAGTTAATTATTTGATGGAGTTATTATTAAAATCTTTCTAGTTCATCCACTTCTCCACCGTACTTTTCAGCATCACTACTGCCTGTCGTAGAGAAACCTTTTAACTTTTACTTGCACCAACCTTTTAACTTTTACTTGCACCATCGATTGAAACTAATTTATGGAGATATGCGTAAGAAAGAAGAGGGATGCAAATTAGATTTGAAGAGGTTGAGTGGCGGAGGACCACCTGACATTAGGGAGGTGTGGCAGATTCCTTCAACTTGACGGCTATGGGTTTATCAGAGGAGTAGAAGGAGGGAGTATTAGAGAGTAATTTAATATTTGTCATTTGTAAATATTATTGATTAGGGCCTATGTGGCATTCTTATTTGTGTATTAATAGATGTACTAGGTTTACATTTATATCAATCAATTCCTTCAATCATTTGTGGCAGCTTTTAGCATTTATTCCTTTTCTCTCTTCTTCCTCAAATTCATCACCTTGCACTAACAAATTGGTATCTAGAGCTTCTTGGTTTGTTCTGAAATTCTGGGAAACACGAGTGATAGTGAGCTGTGTGTTTGATTTTTGAATCTTGAACAAAAATCTGAAACAGAATCACACTGATTCTGTGGGTTTTGGGAAACACTGAGTGAGAAAATCTGAGATCTGAGTTCTTTGTGCAAGGTTTAAGATGAATGGAGGCAGTAGTTTGAACACTAAATTTCCAGTTTTTGATGGCAAAAACTGGAACAGATGGAAGATACAAATGCGTGTGCTGTTTGGTACTCAGGATGTTCTGGATCTTGTTTCTGAAGGTTATGTTTCAGCTGCAGCAGGTGCTACTGAAGAACAAAAATCAGAAGAAAGAGCTACGAGGAAGAGGGATCAGAAAGCTCTGTTCTTTATCCATCAGTGTGTGGATGAAAATGTGTTTGAGAAGATTGTTGATTCGACGACGTCGAAAGGGGCATGGGATATACTGACCAGATGTTATGGTGGTGACGTATCAGTAAAGAAGGTAAAGCTTCAGTCCCTGCGAAAACAATATGAAAATCTCAGCATGAAGAATAGTGAGAAAGTTTCTGAGTACATCTCCAGAATGATTCTGATCACTAATGAGATGAAGGCTTGTGGAGAAACACTTTCTGAACAGGTAATCATAGAAAAGATTCTGAGGTCACTTACTCCTCAGTTTGATTACATTGTTGTTTCTATTGAACATTCTAAAAATCTGGAAACCATGAGAATAGAAGAGTTGCAAAGCAGTCTAGAAGCGCAAGAGTTGCGTCTGACTGAAAGAACTTCTGAGAGGGAAGTGGAGCAAGCTTTGAAAGCTTCTTTTGTCAAGAAGGACCAGAAGCATAATAGACATGGTGATAAATTCCAGAAGTCAGAAACCTCAACTTTTGATGAAAAGAAATATCAGAAGGGAAAGGAAAGGTATGACAAGAAGAAGGTTCAATGTTACTGTTGTAAACAGTTTGGCCATTTTGCCAGAGACTGTAGAAACAGAGGAAGGAAATCAGAAGAAGCAAATATAGCCAGAGAAGACTCTGATGATGAACCTGTGTTACTGATGGCTTCTGATTCTGATGGAAATTGTTCAGGAGATTGGTGGTATATGGACACTGGTTGTTCAAACCACTTGACTGGGAACAAACAATGGCTGATAGACTTTGACTCCAGAAGGAGAACAAAGATCAGATGTGCTGATGATAAGTACCTTAATGCAGAAGGTATGGGAAATGTTAAAGTCAGAGTGAAGAATGGAAGAAACATTCTGATCAAAGATGTTTGGTATGTTCTTGGAATTAAAAGCAATCTGATGAGTGTGGGTCAGCTTATTGAGAAAGTTTTCTCAATGGTTATGAAGGACAATCTCTTGATGTTGTATGATTCTAATCAGAAGTTGATTATGAAGTCTGAGCAGGGAAGCAACAGAACATTCAAGGTGAATGTAGAAACTTCTGAAGCGAAGTGTCTTAGTGCAGAAGGAGCTGAAGCTGACAGTAAACTGTGGCACAAGAGGTTGGGGCACTTGAACTATAGAAGCTTAGGGCATCTAAGTTCTAAGAAGCTCGTACATGGCATTTCGAAGATTGTGAAGCCTCAAAATTCATGTGAGATATGCATGAAAGGCAAGCAACCCAGATTTCCATTTGCATCATGTTGTACCCCAAAATTTGCCCTCCCATATCCTTCAGGAAATTGAAAAGCCAAGCTTCAAAATCTCCCCAAGGGTTGCACAGTCAAAGATCTCCTATACAGTCAAAATTAGGGTTTTGAGTCTGATCAAGAAAATGAAGTTTCTAAAGGTCCAATCAAGCCTCACAAGCCTACAAATATGGTCAAGCATCCTCATATCAAGTTTCAAGGCATTCAGTACAAAATTGCACAGTCAAAACCCTAAATTGCACTACAGTCAACTGTAGGGGCAAAATGGTCATTTGACAGTCAAAAGTTCAAATTTTTGGTCAACATATCATTTTGAAGCCACAAACATCATTTGATCAATGCTTGATCATGATTCTCAAAATTTGGCTCAAAAATCATCAAGATGCAAAAGTTACTATATTTGGACAGTTGAAAAAGTCAACTGAAATTGACCAGGGCATAACTTTCACATGGATTATCAGAAAAATTCCATCCAAAGCTCATTTTGAAGAGAAAGACATTTCCTACAACTCATCTTCATACTTCAAGTCCAAGAAATGCTCTCACAAAAAGTTATCAATTTCAACATTATAGGTCATTTTCAAAAGTCAACAAAAAGGGACTTTAAGTCAAAGGCCATAACTTGAGATTGGTAAATCAAAATGACATGGGACCAAAGGCATTGGTTAGAGAACTCAAAGACCTTTCCAAAATGTCCAAGAACATGAGAAATGCTTAAAAATTGAGCAAATTATGCCTTGTGGAAGTTGGGAAATTTTTGGATATTTTGAAAAGTCAACATTGATTCAAATGACCTAAAATTGCTAATGGGCCCATTTTTCTTCCATAATTCATCATCCATGACATGTGCACGACCACTTGGCCCAAAGGGAAGTATTTTCTCATTTTTTATTTATTTATTTGAATTTTTATTTATATTAATTCATTTAAATCATTTAAATATATGAAAAATACTTAATTTAACCTAACAAATCTTTTTGCACATGTTTTAGACTCAATATTTCGTGCCTAGCTAAATAAGGAAAGATTTGGGTTGATTGATCATGATTGAGAACAAAGAACACATGGAAAAGATTGAAAAAGATCCTTAGAAAATCAAATTTCAAAATCAATGAATGCAATGGATTTGATTGAGTTTTTTTGACCTAATGCACTCACTACATATGCTAGAACACAACCCTAATCAGGATACACACTAAGCTGTGCAAGAAAGCTCTTCACAAACTTGAAAAAATTATCAAAAAAGTCAATTCTGAAAACATCATTCCAGGACGATTCAAGACCTAATTCTTGTTTCAATAGCTTCCTCAAGGTTCCCTGAACGGATTCCAATCAGAAACAACCACTAAAACGCAAGGAATTGGTATACTGCATTCAAGATACCTCATGAAAAATTCATTATCGTGTTTCAATATTTACGCACATTCATAGCATTTTGATTGTAGATTCATGTTCCTTGTGAAATTCTGAAACTAACCAATATGATTAATTGCATTTTTATGCTGTATACACGATTTCACCATGTTTGAGGTCTAGGGTTTGCAGGACCTCAAAATTGGGGGTTTTTATTTAAAGAACAATTGGCCTTCAAGAATACCATGGTTGCAATTAGCAAGTCTGGACGAATGGAAACCACCCATCGCGCCTAATTTATTGACCCTCTAAGACCTATTCGCTATTTTCCCAAAAGCCACCTAACAAAACGCATGTAAAACCGTTGCTTAATATTTTGTGTTTCAGGAAGGTGGAGAAGACGATTTCGTGGCACACGCTGATTGGCTTGTTTAAAATTCGCGCGCGTTTCCAAGCCATT